ATGCATTATGCTGTTTGTGTTCTGAAATTATATATTTTTTTAATTGCAGAATTTTTTCTAATACTATCAATTATTTTAGGTATGCTTATTGTACTGTGAGATTATTAAATCAGCTGATTTTAGGACAACCAGAGAGCAACCGTTTGTTCAGGTAGATTTTTTTTCATGGATAGACAATCTCTCTCTCCCTCACTTGACTGACAATAGTACACTGTAGATATATTTTTTATATTGCAGGTCTTTCATTAAACTTGCATCTCCATAAAGCAGAATAATGACAAATTGAAATCTTGACTGTTTCTGATAAGTAGCCAAATAAAAATATGTGTAATGGAGAAAGTCAGTTTATGGAGTTGGCCTGGGGTGTCTCTGTGTGTCTCTGTGTGTCCTAGGTGTATGTTTAGCTGTTTTTTAATCATTATCCTATGTGCTGTGAACGAGTGAAGAGAGCAAGCGGGCGATAACTCTTCTTTTCTGTGTATCCAGGGAAACGGAGGGCGTTCCCAGCACAGCCATCCGAGAAATTTCCCTTCTTAAAGAACTCAGCCATCCAAATATTGTCAAGTAAGTTTTAGTAACATTTGAGCAGAACTCGTGTTCTGGTGATGCTGTTTGCCTTTTTGGATTTATAGCCAACCTCTTATGCTCTTTTAGGCTGCGAGATGTGATTCACACCGAGAACAAACTTTACCTCGTTTTTGAGTTCCTCCATCAAGATCTGAAAAAGTTTATGGACTCCTCGTCGGTCACTGGCATACCGCTGCCTTTGGTTAAGGTAATTATAGCTTGATGTTGATCTTAATACTTTCCTAGTGGTGTGAATAATAGTTTTGTGAGTTTGTTATGGTTGTCTCTCTGTTTTAGAGCTATCTCTTCCAGCTGCTGCAAGGCCTGGCCTTCTGCCACTCTCACAGAGTTTTGCACCGAGACCTGAAGCCCCAGAACCTCCTTATCAACGCCCAAGGAGAGATCAAGCTGGCAGACTTCGGCCTCGCAAGGGCCTTCGGCGTTCCCGTTCGCACTTACACACACGAGGTAAGATGGTAGCAGTCTTTGTTTTATTCTTTTTTTCTTACATCTAGCCTTTGAACAAACCACAAGTTTCTCCGAGTTCCCTGATAAAGTGTTGACAGTATCAGAGTAAGCATAAAGATTTAAGAGGCTGTTTAGAAAGAAATATTTTTCTATGGTATGTTGAGACACATTTGCTATTCATTCAGCCTGCAGAAGAGTGAAAGAGTTTCAGCAGATAACAGGAAGGCCGAACAGAGTACAACTAAGTTGCTCTGATTTATCTTATTGAGGTTTTTAACCTCCGCAGTGAAACATGATGGATTTCGTAAATCAGAAAAGTAGAGTAAGTAGAATATACATTCTCTTGGGGAATATTTATGTCTTAGTATTCACATTAATTGCTGCCACAGGATGCAAAAGACATGTTTCTTTTTTGTTGTTTTCTTTTTTTTTTTAAATAAATTTAATTTGTGTGTTTTATTAAAGTAAAATCTTGTTTTTGATGAAGACAAACATCGTCAGTCCTCTGGACTGGAGCATTTTTCGAACTACATGATATTTATGTTGAGGTTTTGCATTTATTGTGCAGTATTTTAGTCTTTATTCTGTTTTTATAATTGTTTTCTCCTTGTGTGAGTCTGTGTTGTTATTGCCCATCACTTTACTGCTACTGCATCTGAAATTTTCCTGATATTTCCGTTCTTCACTTCTGCTCCTAATATATGTGAACAGGCCTGTCATAATAACAATAAATTGTCCAAGAAAATATTTTGATAAACAGTAATCTTGTTGTCTTGAGGCCAATTTATAATAGTAATAATGGCTTGATAATGCAAGAACACATTCGCAAAGATCAAGAAACTTCAAATTGTAATGAGCATTCAAACACAGGAACCGGAGGACATTTTAAATATCCAAAATGAGTAAAGAAAACAACAAATAAAATGAATTATGAAGTCTAAAGCACCAGACTGAAGATTTTAATCATTCAGTTTTTGGTAAAAAGAGGAAGAAAAAAGAAAAACAATAAATTAAGCAAGTGATTGAGTTTCTTTTAATTTATCATGCGATTCATTTATTTATTGTTTATTGTGACAGGCTTACATGTAAATAAAAAATGACTGACAGGAAGGCTACAAAAATGCTCTAAATGCTTTTCTGATTTCTTTTTATGATGTTGCTCAGAAAGAAAAATCTACAAAAAAAAAAAGTTGTGTGAAACCTGGAAAATATTCCCATTATTCCATTCAGTGCATCTCTAACTGGTCTCTTACTGGAAGAAATTGTTTTCCACTTTTTCCAGGTCGTCACACTTTGGTACAGAGCACCAGAAATCCTCCTGGGCTGCAAATATTACTCCACGGCGGTGGACATCTGGAGCCTGGGGTGCATCTTTGCTGAAATGGTAACTTGAGTGTTTCCCACAATAAATATTCAACAAAGCAGGAGTGGTCTCTAATCGGCAGCACGGTCGTCCTCAGGTCACCAGGAGGGCGCTGTTCCCCGGTGACTCGGAGATAGACCAGTTGTTCAGAATCTTCCGTACGCTGGGAACGCCAGATGAAGCCGTGTGGCCTGGAGTCACATCAATGCCCGACTACAAGCCCTCCTTCCCTAAGTGGGCTCGACAGGACTTAGCCAAGGTGGTGCCTCTTCTCGATGAGGACGGGAGAGAGCTGCTGGCAGTGAGAACATTTCCACTTGTTTAAAAACAGCAATGTTAGCCTGTGGCAGAAAGAGAAATACTGATACATGATGGACTTATCTTTTCTTTAGGAAATGCTGACCTATGACCCAAACAAGAGGATTTCTGCCAAAAATGCACTTGTGCACCGGTTCTTCCGGGACGTCTCCATGCCAGTTCCTCATCTCAGACTGTGATTTGTGTAAAGCATTAGGCTGGTTAGAATCGAAGTTACATCGAAGCAATAAGGACCGCCTGCCCTGCCTGCAACGGACAGAACCTGGACACTTCAGGAGGCGAAGGGTCCCTCAGTATCTAAACGCAGCCTTTATGTAGCCGGATGGAGGTCCTTCTGTTATGGTTCCAACTGTTTACCCGTCATTTCTCATTTTACTGTGCATGTTTATATGCACAGCTGCCATATTTGATTTGTTGTCAATGATTCAAAGTGTTCTTTGATAATGTTCCGGCCAGAACAGCGACTGCTCTCGAGCTTCCCCATTTAAATGTAAGTAGCTTTTGGATGTTTGAGTTTAGTTTGTTGATTAGAGTCAAAATTCATTTGAGGAATTTGTGGGATTGTGCAAATAAAGCAATCTGCATTCTCTGTAACCTTGAGAGAGAGAGACAGAGAGATGGCTCTCAGCACAATAATCTGGTGCTAGATAAACACCGAGTTGCACCAGCTGCCCTCCGGCTCGACTTTTCTTTTCTTGCAGTTCCATGCAAACGATCTTGAAGTGGTTTTAAAGCTCTTCGTTTGAGATTGAAGTTCTGATTCACGGTAGTTCACTGTCATATTTTACAGAATTAAACTTGGTGTTGCATTGTTCTTTAGATTTTATTCAAGCCTAATGCACAAATTTTATACATATTGTTTATATACAGCTGAAAAAATAAACTTGTTCAGATAACTGCTGGTTGTGTCGGAGACATTGGAGCTGTTAAATATGCATATGATAAATCTGACAAATGCAATAAGCTACATCTTGTTAAAACAAATAATTTTTACATTCACTTCCATAAGCAGAAACAAACTTGAGCAATTTTACTGACACTAGAAGGATATTAAAATAAAAGGTTTGCTATTCACCAAGTTTGTACAGCTATGTACAAGATATTCTAATAGTGCCTTCCAAAAGTATTAACTCTTAATATTGTTTAACTTTGTCACATTACAACTGCAAAAATAAAAATGTGAAAAGTGTGATCCTTTGTATTCATCCCACTTTACTCTCATATCGTTAAATTATATCCAATCAAATACTTGCTGTTGGAAATCACCTGAGTAGAAAGTGGGCTCCTCCATATTTGTAGTTTGTCTCAGTATAAATGCAGCTGTTAGTTGAAGGCACCAGAGGTTAGAGAATAGAGAAACAGCCAAGAGCTGCAGAGATACTCAACCAGGTGGGAGGATCTGTTGGCAGGACAGTCATGGATTAAACAATCCTCAAGTTTGACCTCTGGAAGAGTGAGAGAAAGACCTAAAGAGTGAAAAAATAAACTTGTTCAGATAACAAGTTTTCCACAAAGCATGTAGGAAATATAGAAAACATGGGAAACTAATTTGTCCCAGTTAAATTAGTCTAAAATAAAATGCAAAACGCTCGTACATTTCTCACACCGTCCCCGTATGGGAACACAGCAGTGGCAGTATTGCGCTGCGGGGATGCTCAGTTTGGGATCAGAGAAAATGAAACGGCTGTAGTGAACCAGCAACTCGTCAGACCTTTGGGTTATGAAATGTACCAAAAGTCACACCTGAGCTACATGCAGCTAGTTTCTCCAGTCTGGAGACGTCATGAAGTTGATGAGCAATTAAGGCTTTTCTGCTAATCAGTCTCAATAATTGTGTTCAACAGTTAATCCACTTTACCACACATAATTTATGGACTTATTGTTTTTAGTTTCTCTGTATGTGTATTCCAAATTTAGCGTTGATTCTGTGTCCAAAGCCTCATTTGAAATATCTTGACTGGGAAAAATGTTAAGGTGCTGTGTGTGCAGATAGTTTGCTAAAGACATTACAATATGACATGCATTTCCTTCTAAATTGAATTTCCAGCCTCTAGTGTCTTTTGTCTAAACAGAGGAGAGCACCTCACATTTTTTCCTTTGTTTCTTCACGTAACTTCTGGCTTTGAGTGTCTTTAAAACCGAACGTTTCAGACAGAAGGGTCCAACACCTATAAAGCCAAACGCCAAGGTCATTTAAAAATGCTCCACTGTGGGTTTCTTCCAAGATCACCAAACAAGATAGGACTGTGGAGTGAGGAGTATTGTCCAGTGCCTCCACCACCATATGGCTGTGGCTCCTCCCAGGCAGCTAAGTAAAACATTCCAGCCCACCTCTGGGACTCTGCTGGTTCCCTCACACTCTCTGACATCCAGTCAGGTTTTCACTGTAGCCCAAAGGTTCCTGAGCTGCAGCAAAATGAGAGGATTCGTACTGTTGCTTGCTTTGGTTTACTCTGCTGCTGCTCAGCACCAAGCTCTTATTGACTACTTGGAACGGAGGCTTCTTGCAATTGAGGTAAGTTTTTTTTTCTCCTCCTGCTGAGTCCGCAGTGCCAGAGTTTCCCGCAGAGGAAAATTTCGGGAACTGATGCAATGGAATGCAGATGTGGGCAAAATCCTGGGGAAAACGTTGGGAATACAGATCAGTTACCCTGATGTGAACCGTGAGCTCCTTTAGTCTGAGCCTGCAGCTCTAGCTGCAGACAATGTGATGACAAAAAAAATAAGTTTCTATAAATTACATAATTCTGAACAAATACATTTAGACCAATGAAGTTCTAAATGCATCCAGTTTTTCATCACAGTGAACAGCTCTAGTGCGATACAAAGGTTTTTGCAGATTTTGTTTCAAGTAATATTTATTTTTAAATCTAACAAATATACCTGATTAAAGGCAGAAAAGCAGTCATCAAATTATCATTTAATTCAAGTAAAAAAGTATCCACGACACTTGATTACATACTCTGATTCTTCTGGCAAGCAGAGTTCAATTTCAAGTGTCTCCCTGACACTAGAGGAATCTATTCAGCTACTTTATTCGGCTGCAAGAGCTTTAAAACCAAAGGAATTCATGAACACAGGAGAAATAAATCAGTCAGGAAAGAGTTAATCATCCACTGCTATAGATGTAAGACTAACAAGCCTCATTTTGAGACCTACAAATGAAACAGTGGTGAACCCTCCAAGGAGTGGTCCGCCTATTAAAATTACTACAAAAGTACATTGTTGACTCATCCAGGAGGTCTTAAATAGAAACAGATCAACGTCCTGAACTCTGAAGGCATCGCTTGGCTCAGTCAAGGTCAGTGTTCATGATTTAACTGTGAGAAAGCTGCTATTCAAAAAGAAAACATGTTGATTGTCTCACAATGTTAACTTTTTCACTTAACTAAAGGGGAACTTTTTGAAAGGAGTGTGTGCACGCGTGTGTGTGTGTGTGTGTGTGTGTGTGTGTGTGTGTGTGTGTGTGTGTGTGTGTGTGTGTGTGTGTGTGTGTGTGTGTGTGTGTGTGTGTGCTTGAGTTGTATAGCTAACCCAGTAATTTCAGATGAGTCAAACATGATGGACTTTTCCTGCCTGCTGTAATTGATTGAGTTTTTCTCTCTCCCAGAAAATCCTCAAAAGTTTGTGACCTTAAGCTCGTCATCAGGTCTGAGAGATAAGGAGTTTTTGGAGTGGCCTAGTCAAAGTCTGGACTTGAAGCTGACTCAGATGCTTTGTCCTGACTCTGAACAGGTTGTGCTTATCCTCCGAAGTGGCTGAATTAAAACAATTTTGCAAAGAAGGACGAGACAAAATTTGTCCTCAGTTTCCACACAGCAGATTCTGTCGTTGTTGGGAAAAACGATTTTTCACAAAATATTTTTTACAGAATATCTGCAACAAAGAGATCTCAGACCATTTTCCTGGAAGACAGTCAGGCAGGGTGGGTGCTTGCTGTGTGTGGGTCCTTCCTGATTAAAGGATGCCTCTAAGGCCACGGAAAATTGTGGGCTTGAGTAATTTATAGCAAATCCTTATTTTAGTTGCAGTATAAAATAAACATCTTCAGAAGCTGTGGTTAGAAGCTGCTCTAATCAGCTTTGTTTACAACAGGACAGGATCTCTCTGTGGCAAGAGCAGACCACACGCTATGCGTCCGAGCTGCGGGAGCTGAAGCAGCAGATGGTTTCTCAGCTGGAGAGTCTTGACAAAGAGAAAGAAACCCTCAGGACGACTCTGGACGGAGTGGGGACGAGGGTGGACCGGGTCGAACGGGAACTGGACTACCTGGAGACGCAGAACGGGGCCCAGCCGTGCGTGGACGTGGACGACAAGCTGATAGAGCAGCAGGTGACTCTGGTTAAGGAGAAGCAGAAGGCGAAATACTTCAAACTCACAGGTGAGATGTGCTGGTATGGAGAACCGATAAACTGGCAAAGATGAATACCTTTTTTCATCAAACTTCAGATGAATAATGCACTTCTGTCATCATGTCATTCGATTTGAAAGACCAAATATGCACTTGTCATTGGTTTTGTTTCATTAACAATGTGACTAAATATTGGGGCTTTTATGTTGAAAAGTATTTGTGAACTTTGTTCTTGGTTGAGGACAATGAGAAAAACAATTATATTCTACTATTACTAATAATAAGTCTGTTATTACAAAGAGCATTTGTTGTATTTTGTTTTGCTTTTTTTAAATCCTATCCTTATTTTGAAGAGTAACCTTGAGCTCTTTTGCTGTTGGCCCAAACGGCCTGTTTGCCATGGTGACTCCTGGTTCTGACCAGCAGGTGTGTGAGCGAGAAACCAGCCTCACTTTCTCCCACGAAGCGATGGATTTTCAGATTTTTATTCTGTGTTTTTGCAGACGCTTTGCTGATAGAAATTACCTTTCAAAATCCAAACATTAGCATAAAATTAATCCACATTATATTAGAGAGTTTGGAGGCAGTTTGACAGAAATCTCTGATAATAAAACCAACAAATGTAACTGTATTTATAGATAGAAATAAGTGATTATTGGGTGAATTAAACACTTTTTAGGGATGTCCGGAGCACAATAGAATAAAAAAACCAAATTACATCGTGAACGATAAAGCAGAATGGCCTGGATGATGTTTTGGTGATGATATACAGTCATTTGAGTATATGTGTGGTAGCAAGAAGTGTTTGTTGGCTTCTCTTTTTGAAGTTGTTGATGTGTTGTTTACAGGTGAGTTTATTGTAATAATAAACTCTCCATTGTAAAGCTGTTTAAACGACAGAGGGCCAGCGATAATTTCCTTTGTTTTACTGGTATTAAGGTTGAGATAAGAGGCTTTAAACCATGTTGTGAACGACAACGTCACTGGAGTATTTGAGGAATAAGATGGCTGGTGAAGGACTAATACAGCTGTTTGTGCAGTATGTATAAAGAAAGGTGCTTAGTACACACCTTTGTGGTGCTCCAGTGCCGGTGGAGAGCACTGCTGAAATGGTTGTGTCCACCTACAAAGCTTGTGGTCTATTGATCAGAAAGTTATGGATGATATTACTGAGGCATGGTGAAATGTTGACTTGATGTCCCTTTCCAACACTCATCTTCCTGTGGATGGTGTTGAAAGTAAAAGAGAAGTCCACACAGACGATCCCGACAAAGGTTCCTGGTTAATTGAAGAGCTACAGGAAGGCAGGACAAGAAAACTACAACAAATTTTTACAGAGTTTAAAAAAGTGAAAGCGTTAGAAAGCGATAGCTAATTGTGTGAAGGCTGTCCCTCATGTCTTTTACAGACTGCAGTGATATGATCTCCAGCATTAAAGCCATGAAGATCCTGAAGAGGGTCGGAGGGCCCAAGGGAATGTGGACCAAAGACACAGGTGGAGCATCTGGGAAGGTCTACATCTTCAACGGGACGGCTGAGGACACCATCAACGAGTTTGCCACGGTTCAAGACTTCACTCGCTCTGCGGGCTTTTCTCTGTCCACCGACGTGAAGATTCCCTCAACCTGGAAGGGAACCGGACATGTGGTCTACAACAACCACGTGTATTACGTAAATCAGGAAGAGGAGATAAGGGTGGTCAAATTCGACACTAAAAATAAGTCCATCACAGACAGCGTGGTCTTTCCAGTACAGGATCATGTTCCTGTGTACGGCCTGAACCCTGAGACGGTGATGGACCTGGCCGTGGACGAGGAGGGCCTGTGGGCCATCTACGCCACGAGGCAAAACGAGAGGCACATCTCTATGGCTAAGATGGACAGCAACTCCCTGGACGTCGAGCAGATGTGGGACACGAACTGCCCAAGAGAGAACGCAGAGACAGCCTTCATCATCTGCGGCACCCTGTATGTGGTGTATAACACCAAGCAGCCTGGCCGCTCACGAGTGCAGTGCGTGTTTGACGTGAATGACCTGGTGACTAACGAGGAGGCGCCCCTAGTTTACTTTCCAAAGCGCTACGGCTTCCATGCCAGCCTGAAGTACAATCCTCAGGAGCAGCTGCTCTACGCCTGGGATGATGGCTACCAAATCCTCTACAAGCTTTCCATGAAGAAGAAGCTGGAAATCTGAGCCGAGTGAAGTAGCCCAGTGCCTTCGAAAGGGTTCATGCGAGTCATATCTGACCAAAGATCGTTGATTAGGTCAAATATTTGCAGCGTCTGTTTGCGTTTTCAGGTTATCTGAAGTGAATTTTGTAATCTGTAAAATTCTGCATATTATTGTCATTAATGTTACTTGTTATGTTTTCAGGCTCTGACAAATCTTTGACTGAGATGCAAAACACAACTCAAGCTTTGCTGAGCTTTCACAATAAACACTTCCCACATTATGTGCATTGCTATCATTTTGTATGCATTAGTATGTAAATGCAGATAATTTGGAAATTTCTAACTAAACTCTTCTTGCAATTTATTTTTAGAAAAAGAGCCAGTTTGTGGCTAAATGTGACGCGCTGTTAGCGTGTCACATTTAGATGATTATTAAACCAATTCTCAGTAGTTTTAACCCATAATTTAAAAATGTGCAATACTCATCACCAACTTCAATACATCTTTCCTAAATATGATTCCCAAAGTGATCAAATTAATTTTTTATTCATAACTTTATTAAAGTAATACAAACCACAGGCTGTTAGCAGACAGTTTTCTTTAATTGCAAAGAAAACATGTAGCTTTAGCTCCATCAGCCCTTAATTATTAGCAATTTTCTGGTTGTCGATTAATTCAATTGAATGTTGTGTCTTGATTATAAGATCCTCAGATGTGTTGCTATTTAGTTAATGTCAGAATATTTGTGAGGACATGCTAGCAGGCTAGCACTGGTTCAGAAACATGTAAACCACCCTCTTAAAACTCTTGTTATTTTGGATGTAAAAGCATGAGGCCCTAATAAATCAACAGTTTTTTGCTAAAAAAAAGCTGAAAGGTGCAGAAAGCTATTTGCATACACATGCACACTTTGATACAGTGTTGAACACCTTTTTTGATTTAACTGTCTTCTAATTTTTATGCACCGTCCTCACTGAGACATATTTGACCTCTGTAATCTCTCCAAATCCATCAGATTGTGAAGACAGTCGTCTCCAGGTAAACGTTCAGGTTTTCTGTCAGATATTACTGGGAACTCTTTCATGGCTACTTCACATCGTGGATTTTCCTCTTCTGAATGCATCATGTTGTTTCAAACCATCTTCACTTTCAGTTTTCCAGCAGACTTATGAAGGTTTGGGTCAAAAGTGGCTGGTACTCAGGACTGTCCACAACTTTATCCCACTTCACAAAAGCATCATTTCCTCTGAAAAATAAAAGTAACCCCCTTAGCATGATGCAGCCACACCCATGTTTCACTATAAGTATAATGTTTTTTTCAATGATGTGCAGCGTTTCTGTTCTGCTTTACTAAAACACATGACCTGGATGTTTTTGTTGATGTCTTCTTAACTTTTCATCAATTTTGAAATTCCCATGTCTTTAATCATGTGACATGATGTACATAGTTTTTTAATTCTGTTCTCAAGGTGAATACCCTTATGCTTATGCTATACATTGTTTTAATCCTTCGTAATCTTTCTGCATGATATTTAATTAGCTTAAAGATGTAATTGTCAGAAAATACTTACCACAGCTGGGACTGTGTTCATGTTTGATCAGATTTACTATATTTTATAATATGGTAAATCTAGTATAGATAGTTTAACAGAGTGTTAGTTTAACAATCTGCACACTTATGGAACCGAGCAATGTTGATTTCTAATATGTTCCTCCTGACAGACTTTATTGTTTTTCAGATAAGTATCCAGGATAAATATATCATATTTGGATAAGGAATTCAATTTATTTACTAATGTCTAAATTTGAATAAAATTATAAACATTTTTATTTCTCTGCGCATGTTGAGTTTTTCCAGCTATGTCTGTAATGTATTTTGAGATACAAACACATTTAGATCAACTGTAGTTTTGTTCAGCTTGTGGAAAGATTAAAAGCTAATTTCCTCCAGAATCAAGACAAAAGTACGAATTGACAAATTAGGCTGGTTGTTCACAGGTCTGCTGGTAATTCAGATATTTTCTTGTTTTATGTACCAAAATCATGAATAGCTCAAATCATAAACACAGGACCATCCTTGCTAAAACAAATAACTAAAATTAAAATAATAAACCCTGAGAAATATCTATAAAACTTAACACCAGACTGAATCAAAGGCTTTAATTTACTTGTAATGCCATTGAAAATCTCAGCTGCTCTCAGTGAAGCAGACTCAACAGCTGAAGGAGGAATAGAAAATAGATCTTCAAAACAGGCTCTGATCTTCTCTGTAATTACAGGCTCACGTTCCCAAACAAGAGCCAGGTTATATCACTAAACAATCATTTTCCAAAAGGTTTCATTCACTCTGTTGTCCTTGTGTTCTTGTGTCCACGGAGCATCTGCACATGTGCTGCTTACAGGATCCGGGATGTTTTAAATATATTGCGCGGCTTCCAGGTTAGATCCATAAAAGGAGATGCAGCAGCTTTTATTCTGACGTAGAGAGAGGAGGTGAAGGATGAACACCACAAAAGGTTGTTGTTCACAAAACCAAACTCCAACCACGCCCCGTATTTCAGAGGTGGTGACTGGATTTTGCAAAGCAAAGCAGGCTTCTTGTCATTACACTTGAACTACAAAGGAATTACTTTGCATGCTTCTGTGAAGAGAACCAATGCAATCCACTTGAGTGCAAACGCTGTTTTGATGCTGTTTTTTTTTTTAGTTATTGCACAAAATACTTCTTTTTTTTTTCTGCTAATCCGTTTTCCAAAAAGAAATGACAACAGACTTTTAGCTATCAGCCACACCCAGAAAATACACCCCAGTCAATTCAGCTGTACAGCTGCAGAACAGGAAGTTGCATTCTTGGTGTGTAGCTTCAATAAATGCACCAAAGAGCTGGGAAACTGGTTCATATTACATCTGCATGTAACAGAGGAGAAACGTCTCAGTGCACAATACAAAAATCACAGACATTTATTCAGGTACTCCAGTTCTACGCTCAGTATGCAAACAATTCTGACAAATGCATAGAGATAACATCAAGGCGCTATGTATTTATTTTTTATAACTATTTTTATGTGTGTTGTGTCCTCGCTGCTTGTCTTTATCGTCCTCTACGCTCCTGTTCTAAATATTTGTCCTCTCCTTCAGGCCCGGAGCTTTTAGGGTCTCACATCATTAGAGTTAGAAAAAACAAAACAAAACCCAACTTAGCTGGTTCCAGTGGGTTGCTGTAGCAAGCAGTAGCTGCCACTTCATGGGGAATAACGAAAGGCTGGTGAACCACCACTGTACTTATGCAGAGCCGTGATGAGCGCGGGTTGCTCTCGTTTCCCAATATCCAGGATGTACACAAAATGTCTCTAACTTTCGTATCACTTTGCCTCCAGAAATGATCCCCCTCCCCAACTTATTTCCAAGACCAACTGATTGTCCCTCAGTGTTAATGACAACGTCTTTATATTTGAATAACCATCTAATGCAAAAACAAAAGTGGTGTAGCAGTTCATAAGGTGGCATTCTAATGAACCAATGTGAAAATGTTGAATCTAAGGTTGCTTTAAGTAAGAAGAATAAATATCTTTTGGATATAGACTCATCAAACAAAAATTTCTCTGACCTAAAATTATACCAATACCTTAACGCTGAAGCCAAAGGGGAGACATGTTTTATTTATCCTTTTATAGACTGGAAGAAAGCCAGCACAGGTTATGCTGTGTGCACTATTGTTGTCCAAGCAGTAGCTGTTTGTTAGCATAAAGTTCAGCCAATAAGTACATCCTTCCTCTTGAAGTGTTTTTTTCTCTTTTGTTTTCCAGAGAGTCAGCGCAAAACACCTGCTGACATCTACAGATCATATGAACTGCTTTCACCAAACAATCCTTCCTTCTACAAGTTTATCTATGCTAGTCACATTCAGCAGAAGGACTTGTTTTAGCAGCTGACTGGAACAATCAAACAATCAGAGAATAATAGAAATAACTTTACAATATTTATTTTTTATTAACTGAGGAACAACGGGGAGAATTGTAAAATTACACAACATACATTTTTGTGTCACGGTCATGGTGTTTCCGGAAAGCTTCGGTCCCTCTCTCTAGGCTGCTTTTTGTGTTTCAAACCTTCCTTGTCACTCAACACACAACATGCACTGTCGACACGAGATGAGTCCTTTACCTTATCTTTCTTTCATTTGCTTAGCAGGATCTAAATATTGAATTTACATAAACATACAAACGTACTTCCAAATGACCCGTTTGCTTTGGTTGTGTGTAAGCCTTGGTGTCCTGCAAAATGCTTATTTTTCCACAGTTTGTTGCATTTCAGCCACGTCCTTCAATGTTTTTATTGGGATTTTATGTGATTTGAGTGGGCTGGTCTAACATCATTACATGCCAAGACTCTTGGAGCCTGGGTCAGGTTTTCTCCAAGTATTGGCCTGTATTTAGGTCAGTCATATTTCCATTAATATGGTTATGATTATTGTTTTCTAACTAAATGCAGTAAATGTGGTTCTCATGGTTCAAAGAGACATAATGTGGTTAATACGTTCTACTATGGGTGCCTTTGAGTATGAGTCAGTGCTTTTTCCTGTCCAGCACATTTGCCTACAGGAGTTCGTATCTCTCTCTGTGATTGGGCAGAGAGCCATGATGGGCCCAAAAATGCAAAAGTAGGCAAATCTATCACAAGAAATGTATGAGTGACAACTGTGGCTCTCTTGTGATCAGACAGGAAATCATCCCTGAGATGATCAGATGAAGACACGACAATCTCCTCTTCATTCAAGTTTTCACGGCACGTCGTGTTTGTTGACTTCCAGTATCAAAAACTGCCAATAAGAATTTGTATGTTAAGTAATTTTGCTTCTGTTCTTTTCTCCTTTTTTTTTTCTCCAGAAAAGCAAAGCTGAGAGCTGAAGCAACATGGAGTACACCTTCAGAGCAGTAACTCGCAGCCCGGGGATTATAATCTGGAGGGTTGAGGTGATTGGATTTTATGTCACTTTTTCTTAGAGGTAGATTTAGTGATGAACCCAAAAGTAAAAGTTTTAATTTCTTTCTATGCAACAGAAAATGGAGCTGGTTCAAGTTCCTGAGAAGTCCTTTGGGAACTTTTTTGAGGGTGACTGCTATGTCCTTCTGTTTGTAAGTCTCAGATGGAGAATCATTCCTCATTTAAGCATAAAAATTATCAAAAGTTTTTGATAAACCGGCCGCATCGTCCTTCGAGCCATTCCTTCTCCATCTGTGCTGATGCACACACAGACTCTGCACTTTTGTCTTTCTCCAGACGCAGAAGCTGAGCAGCTCTTTAAGTTACAACATCCACTTCTGGATCGGCTCAGAGTCCAGCCAGGATGAACAGGGTGCAGCTGCTGTTTACACCATACAGCTGGATGATTTCTTAGGCTCCTCTCCAATTCAGTACAGAGAGGTTCAGCACAACGAGTCGGATACGTTCAAGGGATACTTCAAAAGTGGAATAATGTGAGCGAAAGATGTTTGTACAGTGACCCTTTAAGTGAAGTACGCTGTAAATTGTATTTTTCTGTTTTGTTTAGCTATAAGAAAGGGGGCGTTGCAAGTGGCATGCGGCATACTGAGACCAACGCGTATGAGATTCAGAGGCTGCTTCATGTGAAAGGAAAGAAAAGAATCATTGCCAAGGAGGTGAGCCATGTTTTCCAGTCGCACAGATGCAAAAATATTCCAATCCCCTGAAACGTTTTCTCACATTTTCTCACATTAGAGCCTTAGACCTCAGGGATGTTATGTAACGATCATCACAAAGTCATATTTTTCTTAATGCAGCATGCATGAAGAAAATCTGTGAGATGGGATGCATTTAGCCCCATCGACCTTATTTGAACAGCTTCCCTGTCTCTGTTAAAACTACAAGCATCATCACAGCACAAAGTTCCCACCCTTATGCTTCACTCCGCAGATAATTTGTTTAAGATAATGAGTAAAGCTAAACTTCCTCAACACACAGTGCTTTGCATCTGGGCCAAAAGGTTAAATTCAGGTCTCATCTGACCAGAATGCCTTTTCCTCCAAGTTTCCTGCATGTGGGAAAGTATTTCTAGCTTTTTTCCACAAGACCTTTTTTTTTGCCACTCTTCCACGAGGGCCAAATTTGTGAACGGTGCTGTAATTTCTGCTTTCCGCTGGTCTGTCGCACACAATTCCAGTACAGTACGTTGAATCGTGTTTGCAAAATGTGGAAACAATTAAGGGCTATCAACACTAATGCAAGAGTTATTTCGTGTAAAAACAGTAGTTTCATTATTTTCTTTGTGCGTTAGGTGGAGATGAGCTGGAAGAGCTTCAACCTTGGAGATGTGTTTTTGTTGGACCTTGGTAAGACCATCGTCCAGTGGAACGGTCCAAAGAGCAACACTCAGGAAAGACTGAAGGTGAGGCTTTCTGACTGAATAAGTCCCTACATCAGACATACTGGACTCATAAATATATTGTAAATCAGATACACCATGAATGCAGTTCATAGAGAAACAAACCCACACCCTATTTTATAATCATTGCCCCACTAACTAAACACTGCTCGCATCTCCAATTCATTCTAATAGGTACTGTAAACATTTGCATTGCTGCATGGCTGCACATCCACATCAGTCTCTATCCAGGCAATGCAGCTAAATTACACTAAGAGAGGTGTCAAACTGCACAGCTAAGGACTTCTGTTTTCTAATGCAGGGAAACTTGGGGTTTGTGCAAATTCTTCCTGTTTTTACAGCCAGAACTCCAAAATACAGATAAATGCAAATAACGAGTTGCTTTTATTCATTTTAGTACCAGGATGCTGACCAGGAATGCAAAACA